CTTAGCCTCCCGAGTAGCTGGGATTACAGGCACACGCCACCATGCCTGGCTAATTTTTTTGTATTTTTAGTAGACACAGGGTTTCACTACGTTGGCCAGACTGTTCTAAAATGCCTGACCTTGTGATCCACCCTTCTCGGCTTCCCAAAGTGCTGGTATTACAGGCATGAGCCACTGTACCCAGCCCCTTTAATGTACATTTCTTTATAAGTGAGGTTAAGTAGCTTTTTATATTTAAAAGCAACTCTTTTTTTCATGTCCTTTTCTGTTTTAGTAGTGAACTGTGTATCAGGTCACTTCTGATGTCAGTGACAGACTCAAATTGACAAAAGGAATGAACTGCTCCTCTAACTAACAATTGTGGGAGTAGAACCTTCAGGCGTAACTGGATTTGAGATCAAACAATGTCATGATGAAGCGGCCTCGTTGTCTGGGGTGATACCCAAGGTCTGTTGTCTCATGCCAAGAAAATCAAGGACGTGGACACACAAGGAGGGACGTTAAGAGCTGAGGTTTAATAGACAAAAGAAAGAGAAGAGCTCTCTCCTGAAGAGAGAGGAGTCCTGAACAGGTTTCCACTCCTGCAGTGAAATGCAGTATGTTTTATAGGTGAGCTTGAGGAGGCAGTGTCTGATTTCCATAGGGCACAAAAGATTGGTCAGAACAACTGCGTCATTTGCATAAGGTGTGAAAAACTGGTTAGAGCTAGGTGTGCTATTTGCATAGGGCACGAAAAGCGGCCTTCCCCCACCCTAATCTTTCATTACGCAGATAGGTTCTCTACCTGGCCAGTGCTATGTTGCCTGTTTCTTTAATGTTCATGTGGTAATGAAGAAAAGGGAAGATGGAGCCTCCATGCTGAACATACCTGTTTCCCAGGTCGCCCTTTCTATTGGCCCAGCTGCTGGCATTCACCCGTGCAAGCTTCCACGTTGCTTATCTGGTTTTGAAGCTCAATTTTTCAGGCTGTTCTTTGTTAGAAAAAAATAATTTGGGGCTGCTTTTCATTAAAAGGGAAATTCCGTCAAAGACTCTTTTACCATCACTATCATCCTAAATACTCTGTGGTTCGTGTATCAGTGAGAGAGCTGGTACTCGCTCTGCCCTCTGCCTTGAAGTAGCTTGGCTTTACCGGGAGCAAATGAGGGTAGCAGCTTTATCCCCTACAGCTTTTCGTATCCCAAGTTCAGCAGAAAAGAGCACATTTACTTCCCACAGGTATCTTAAAAGTTGCAGAATTGAGCCTCTTTGATTCTGATTAGCTGGACTTGGGTCAGGCCCAATCATTTTCCCCTGGAAAACATGATGCTCTAATTATTTAAGGAAAACACTGTCATTTTGAAGCGGATTGTATTTGTCTGTTCTCACATTGCTATAAAGTACTACCTGAGAAGGGATAATTTATAAAGAAAAGAGTCTGAATGACTCACAGTTCCACATGGCTGTACAGGAAGCACAGCTGTGGAGGCCGCAGGAAACTTACAGTCATGGAGGAAGACAAGAGGGAAGCAGGCGTGTCTTACGTGGCCGGAGGAGGAAGAGAGTGGGGAAGGTGCCACACACTCTTAAACAACCAGTCTTGTGAGAACAGCAAGGGGAGATCTGCCCCCATGATCCAGTCAGCTCCCACCAGGCCCCTCCTCCAAGAGTGGGGTGAGATTAGGGCAGGGACACAAATCCAAACAAACCATATCATTCCACCTCTGACCCCTGCCAAATCTCATGTCCTTCTCAAATTGCAAACTACAATCATCCCTTCTCAACAGTTCCTGTAACTCATATCAACATTAACTCAAAAGTCCGCAGCCCAAAGTCTCCCCTGAGACAAGGCAAGTCCCCTCCAGCTATGAGTGTGTGAAATAAAAAAATAGTCAGCCAGGTGCAGTGGCTCATACCTGTAATCCCAGCACTTTGGGAGACCGAGGTGGGCGTTATTACTTGAGGTCAGGAGTCTGAGACCAGCCTGACCAACATGGTGAAACCCTGTCTCTACTAACAATACAAAAAAAATTAGCCAGATGTGGTGGTGAATGCCTGTAATACCAGCTACTCAGGAGGCTGAGGCTGGAGAATCTCTTGAACCTGAGAGGCAGAGGTTGTAGTGAGCCTGGGCAGCTGAGCGAGACTCCATCTCAAAAAAAATAAAATTAAATTAAATAAATAAAAAACAAACAGTGAGTTACTTCTAAGATAGAATGGGGGTACAGGCATTGGGTAAATACACCCTTTCAAAAAGGGAGAAATCAGCCAACACAAAAGGGCTAAAAGTTCCATGCAAGCCCGAAACCCAGCAGGAAGTCATTAAATCTTAAATCTCCAAAATAATCTCCTTTGACTCCACGTCTCATATCCAAGGCACACTGATACAGAGTGGGGTTCCAAGGCCTTGGGCAAGAACCTCAGGATACAGAAAACCGTCTGTCTTTGTGATAAGGCAGGGGTCAAATTGGGCTAACACAAGCCACCTGTGGATGGTTAAACAGAGAGCACCCTGTAACACGCCCACTGGGGCTTCAGCTGTAAACATTCACCCCTAGACAATGCCGGGGGTTGGGGCCCCACAGCCGCCCATCTGTGTGCTCCTTTAGAGGTTCCTGTGGCTCTGCAGGGTGGAGCCCCCTCGGCTGCAGGGCTGCTTTCCTGGGCTGGGGTTGATGCCTGCGCTTTTCCAGGCTTGGTGCAAGCAGGTCTCTGAAATGCCTCTGAGGCATTTTCCCTACCGTCCTGGCTGTTAATATTGAGTTCCTCTTTACTTACACGGATTTCTGAAGCTAGCTGGAATTCCTCCCCAGAAAATGGGTTTTTCTTTTCTACCACATGATCAGGCTGCAAATCTTCCAAACTTTTATGCTCTGCTTCCTGTTCAAATACAAGTTCCACTTTCAGATCATCTCTTTGCTCGTGAATGTAAGCCTAGGCGGCTACAAGCAGACAGGCCGAGTCTTGACCGTGTTGCTGCCTAGAATTTCTTCTGCCAAACACCCGAAATCATCACTCTCAAGGTCAAAGTTTCACAGATCTCAAAGGCAGGGGCACAATGCTTCAACCTCTTTGCTCATGAGTAACAGAAGTGACCTCTGCTCCAGTTCCCAGTAAGTTCCCCATCTCCATCTGGCACATGGACTTCACTGTTCTTATCCTATCAGCATTTTGGTCACAGTTTAACAAGTCTCTAGGAAGTTCCAAACTTTCCCTCATCTGCCTGTCTTCTTCTGAGCCCTCCAAACTGTTCCAACCTCTGCCCGTTACCCAGTTCCAAAGTTGCTTCCAAATATTCAGGTATCTGTATGGCAATGCCCCCACTTCTTGGTACCAATTTTCTATATTAGCCCATTCTGACATTGCTGTCAAGAACTACCTGAGACTGGGTATTTATAAGGGAAAGTATTTATAAAGAAAAGAAAATTTTTTTTTTGTAATTTTTTTTTCAGACGGAGTTTCGCTCTCGTTCCCCAGGCTGGAGTGCAATGGCGTGATCTTGGCTCACTGCAACCTCCGCCTCCTGGGTTCAGGCAATTCTCCTGCCTCAGCCTCCTGAGTAGCTGGGATTACAGGCATGTGCCACCATGCCCAGCTAATTTTTTGTATTTTTAGTAGAGACGGGGTTTCACCATGTTGACCAGGATGGTCTCGATCTCTTGATCTCGTGATCTACCCGCCTCGGCCTCCCAAAGTGCTGGGATTACAGGCTTGAGCCACCGCACCTGGCCCAAGAAAAGAAAAGTGACTCACTGTTACACAGGCTGTACAGGCAGCACGGCTGGGCAAGCCTCAGGAAACTTATAATCGTAGCAGAAGGTGAAGGGGAAGCAGCCACATCTTACATGGCCAAGGAGGAGGAAGAGAAGGTGGGAGGTGCCACATACTTTTAAACAACCAGATCTTATGAGAACAGCAAGGGGAAAATCTGCCCCCACAATCCAATCACCTCCCAATGAAATGAGTCAAGTTCCCTTGTCCCCCTTGAAGGCCATGTGATGGGGGTGTGCCTCACTTCTTCAGTGCCCGGCTGCTCAAACCTCTAAGGGAGCACACAGATGGGCAGGTGGTAAGGCTCCAACCCCATGGCAGTGTCTAAGGGTGAGTGTTTACAGCTGAAGCCCCAGTTGGCATGTGTTACAGAGTGCTCTCTTAGTTTACCCATCCATAGTTGGCTTGTGTTAGCTCAGTTAGACCCCTGCCTTATCACATGGACAGAGGGCTTTCTGTATCCTGGTGTTCTTGCCTTGGTTATACTGGAAGAATCATAATGCATGTTGGCTTGGAGAATGAGGGCAAGGAGGAAGTTCTCAGCAGATGGGGGAGCCAGAGGGAGATGGTTTTCTCCTGGAGTTGGGCCGCTCAGTGGCCCAGGCTCTCCACCAACCACCCTGGCCAAACTCCACGTCGTTCTGATCAATGGCCTGCTGGCATGCCAGTGTGCCTGTCGATGTGTTCTTGACATCCTCTCAACATCCAGCCACTTGTGTGTTCCTCCACCAATGTGTTTCTCTGGATATCCAGCCACTTGTGTACCTGCCTGCTAGGGTCTTGGGGGTTTTTATTGGCATACAACGGGGGCATGGCAGGCCAGAGTGGTCTTGGGAAATGCAACATTTGGGCGCGATGACAGGAGTACCTGCCCTCACCTAGGTGAATGGACACAGGGCAGGGGATGGAGCCCTCACCAAGGACCCACCTTTCTCTATCCAGCACTTCCCTGCCCCCCTTCCATATCGCCAACACTGGAGGTTGCAATTCAACATGAGATTTGGGTGGGGACACAAATCCAAGCCATACCAAAGATATTTTCTATGTTATCATTTGTCTTTTAAAGCTTTGTTATGACGTTTTTTTCAGACACTTTTGTGTAGTCCATTTGTCAGTCTTGTGGGTCTTGCCTAAAAAGCCCTCCCAACTCTGATTTTTTTTCTTTTATTTTCCATGTTTCCTGTTAGGGTTTTTTTTTTGAGATGGAGTCTTGCTCTGTCACCCAGGCTGGCGTGCAGTGGCACAGTCGTCTTGGCTCACTGCAACCTCTGCCTTCCAGGTTTAAGTGATTATCTTGCCTCAGCCCCCTGGGTAGCTGAGATTACAGGTGCATGCCACCACACCTGGCTAATTTTTGTACTTTTAGTAGAGACAGGGTTTCACCACATTGGTCAGGCTGGTCTCGAACTCCAGAAAATTGTGATCCACCTGCCTTGGCCTCCCAAAGTACTGGGATTAGAGGCGTGAGCCACCACGCCTGGCCCTCCTCTTAGTACTTTTATAGGGTTTTTGTTTTTTGTTTTTGTAGAATGTTTACATCTTTGGTCATCTAGAATTAATTTTGTCTAAGGAAAAAAGTATTTAATTGAAAATGGGACTGGCCAGGCACGGTGGCTCACGCCTATAATCCCAGATCTTTGGAAGTCTGAAATGGGCAGATCACTTGAGTCCACGGGTTTGAGACTGGCCTGAGCAACATGGCAAGACCCAATCTCTACAAAACATACAAAAAAATTAGCTGGGTATGGTGGAGTGTGCCTGTAGTCCCAGCTACTTGGGAGGATGGAGTGGGAGGATTGATCACTTGAGCCTGGGAGGTGAAGGTTGCAGTGAGCTGAGATCATGCCACTGTACTCCAGCCTGGGCAACAGACCAGACCCTGTCTCAAAAAGAAAAACAAACAAGAATCAGCCTCTGTAGTACTGAAGTATTCTGAAATATTTATTTCATTCAGGCCACAAAAGGACCTAACGAACCATCCCAGCCCAATATTTGCATGTACCTCTTAGACAACTAGACTTTTGTACGCCATATTCATAGCCTCTTTCTGAAGAATTCTGAATAAACTCTGGCACCTTCTGATCCTTTTGATTTCCATGTTCTTTGTTCTGATCATCCTCCATCTGGCACATATTCTCCTAAGAGGGCAGAATTGCTTTGCACTTAATAAATTACATCACATTCAGGTATGCTTCCTCGAAATGCTACCGAAGTCACCTTGACTGGAATTGAGGACGTTCTCCCAAAGCTCAGTCATCTGTTTACTGATGATCTCTGGTTTATTCCATAGAGAGTTAGCTGCGTTCATTTGTAGTGGTCACTCTACCTCCTTCCTTGCTAATAGCACTGATTTTGTTCAGGCATGAAGTAGCAGTGAAGGCAAGGAGAGCTGGTCTTAAGGGATTAACTGTGTTTAAGTCAATCGTGGCAATTCCACTCCCTCTTATCACTGACTGGCTTATTGGTGTTCATATAGCCCAAACTTCTGGCCAATGAGATGTAAAGAGAAGTCTGTTGAGGGGACATCTGGGAAAGCTTTCTCTCCCTGATGAGATGAAGTAGTAAGGCAGGAAAATCCAGTCTGGAGGCAGGGAACATAAGGCGGATTCACACCAGCTATAACAGAAAATATCCTCTCCACAGGGAATACGCTGAGTATATAACTTTGTAACTTTACTTCACCCTCTTCATTTACATATGAAGAGGGTATTCAACTCACAAGAACTCTGTAACAGGGCCATTGAGCTCCTATGCTCAGTCCTGCTCCCACACTGTGGAGTGTACTTTCATTTTCAAAAAATCCCTTCATTCCTGCCTTGCGTTGTGCGTTCTGTTCAATTCTTTGTTCAAACTGTCAAGACCCTCCGCCACTAACAGTAACGAGAAAAAACTCCTTCTCTTCAGATCATGGTTGTGAGAGAGATGCCTGGAGCAGTCATATTACAACCCGGAGCGGGTAAGCTGAAGGCGACAGCCAATCTGCAGAGGATGGGGGAGCAGAAGGAAGGAAAGACTCCGGGTTTTAAATGACTTTTTTTTTTTTTTTTAATGAAAACCAGTTTATTAGGAAGGTAAGGAATAAAAAAATGGGGTGGGCATGGTGGCTTACACTGTAATCCCAGCACTTTGGGAGGCCAAGGCGGGCGGATCCCTTGAGGTCAGGAGTTCAAGACCAGCCTGGCAAACATGGTTAAACCCTATCTCTACTAAAAATACAAAAATTAGCTCGGCATGATGGCAAGCACCTGTAATCCCAGCTACTCGGGAAGCTGAGGCACGAGAATCACTTGAACCCAGGAGGCAGAAGTTGCAATGAGCTGAGATCACACCACTGCACTCCAGCCTGAGCGACAGAGCGAGAGTCTGTTTCGAATAAATAAAAATAAGTAAATAAATAAAAATAAAAGAACGGCTACTCCATAGACAGAGCAGGCTGAGGGCTGTTGGTTGCCTATTTTTGTGGTTATTTGTTGATTATATGCTGAAAGGGGGGTGGATCATTCATGTCTCCCTTTTTAGAGCATATGGGGTAACTTCCTGACTTTGCCATGACATTTGTAAACGGCTTAATGACACTGATGAACCACTGTAGTCCTCAGACTTCTGATGTGAGATAGGTCTTTGTTATTTATGTCCATTTTGGCTGTGTGTTCTTACTGGCAGCTGAAAGCTTCCTAACTGATAGCCCATCCTTATACTACATAGGTTACCCAATGACGTGCGGTTGGGTCATAAGCCAAGCCTAAATTTTCAAAAACTTTAGGAGCTGGTTAAGAACACGGTAAATATTCAAACCAACTATGGTGGGAATATTTCCACCCCAGAAACTGGCAAATACTGCAAATCACGCCGTCCTCCAATCAAGAGTCAGTTGTTAAACATCTATCAGTACACAACTGGTTACATTTTTTCTAAAAAGAATGCTCCTAAAAAGCCATATTTATTAAAATGACATTGGCATATATCAGACTTGTAGAACCATTCTATTTTCATCTTACCTAATAACAAATGGATGAGCACATTTTAGCTTGATGTTGTGTGTCACCCCCAGTCACATCATGATGTGCCTAATGATCCGAAAATATTAATTTCATTTAGAGTGGTAAGTTAAAGGAAGCTGGGCATGGCAGCTCACACCTGTGATCCCAGCACTTTGGGAGGCTGAAGTGGGAGGATTGATTGAGGCAAGGAGTTCAAGACCAGCCCAGGTAACATAGCAAAATATCTCTACAAAAAATTTTAAAAAAGAAAAAACAAACAGCTACTTACTCCCAGCATAGCTGTAATAGAAATTTTAAAAATTAGCCAGGTGTGGTGGGACCTGCAGCCCCAGCTACTTGGGAGATGGAGGTGGGAGAATCACCTGAGCCCAGGAGGCAGAGGTTGCAGTGTGAGCTGAGATCAAGCCACTGCACTCCAGCCACAGCGCAAGACCTTGTCTCAAAAATAATAATAAAAATAAAGGAACCCTGTGATGAGTCCCATGTATTTGAAACCATCTTCCCCAATTTCCTACTTCAAATCTGTCTAGCTGGGTACCCCTGTATCATCTAAAATGAGTCGTCGACTCCTGAGCTCAGATTTATTGTGGTTTGTTTCTTACACTGGTCTGGGTTCTTCTGCTTTGTGCTAGACTCCCTGCTCCCCACTACTCCAGAAAGAGGACTGTTGCTACTACAGTCAGCTTTAAAGACATTTTATTGGTTATTGCTAGGTAGATTTCTCACTCTGCCTGGTTCAGAAGGCTCATACACAGGTTTTTTTCTTTTTTTGTCTGGAGTGGTAAAAAGGTGAGGTTCCTCCAACGAGGGAAGAGGCATTGACAGCTTTCATCTTTGGTTTGGCTCCTGATATGATTTGGATCTGTCCCCCCAGCAAATCTCATGTCAAATTCTAACTCCCAGTGTTGGAGGTGGTGTCTGGTGGGGGGTGACTGGATCATTAGGGCAGAGTTACCATGAATGGGTTAGCACCATTCCCCACTTGGTACTGTATAGTGAGTTCTCACAAGATCTGGTTGTTTAAAAAAGTGTGTGGCATTTCTCCCTCCCCTTTGGTCCTGCTCCTGCTTTGCCTTTCACCATGATTGTTTCCTGAGGCCTCCCCAGAAGCAGATGCTGCCATGCTTTCCAAACAGCTTATGGAACCATGAGTCAATTAAACCTCTTTTTTTTTTTTTTGAGATGGAGTTTCGTTCTTGTTGCCCAGACTGGAGTGCAATGGGGCAATCTCAGCTCACTGCAACCTCCAGGTTCAAGCGATTCTCCTGCTGTAGCCTCCCGAGTAGCTGAGGTTACAGGCACCCGCCACCATGCCCAGCTAACTTTTTTTTTTTTTTTGGTATTTTTAGTAGAGATGGGGTTTCTCCGTGTTGGTCAGGCTGGTCTCAAACTCCTGACCTCAGGCAATCCACCTACCTTGGCCTCCCAAAGTGCTGAGATTAAAAGCATGAGCCACCGTGCCCAGCTAAACCTCTTTTCTTTATAAATTATCCAGTCTCAGGTATTTCTTTATAGCAATGTGAGAACAGAGTAATACAGAAAACTGGTACCAGGAGTGGGGTATTGCTGTAAAGACAGCTGAACATGTGGAAGCTACTTTGGAACTGGGTAACAGGAAGATGTTGGAAGAGTGCAGAGGGCTTAGAAAAAGATAAAGATGAGAGAAGGTTTGGAACTTCCTAGAGACTTGTTAAATGGTTGTGACCAAAATGCTGATAGTGATATGAACAGAGGTGGCCAGGCTAACAAGATCTCAGACAGATGAGGAACTTAACTAAGAAATGGAGCAAAGATCACTTTTGATAAGCTTTAGCAAAGATTGGGAGGCCCTTTGTGCCATTGTGCCCCTGCCCTAGGTATATGTGGAAATTTTAACTTGAGAATGATGATTTTGGATGTCTGCTGGAAGAAATTTCTAAGCAGCAAAGCATTCAAGATTTAGTCTGGCTGCTTTTAACAGCATATGCTCAAGTGCATGAGCAAAGAAATGACATAAAACTGGAACTTACATTTAAAAGGGAAGCAAAGCATAAAAGTTTTGAAAATTTGCAGCCTGGCCATATGGCAGAAAAGTCCATTTTCAGGGGAGGAATTCAAGCCCACTGTAGAAATTTACTTAGTAAAAAGCAGCCAAATGCTGATAGTCAAGACAATGAGGTTAAGCCATCAAGACATTTCAGATATCTAAGAGACAGCCTTTCCCATCACAGGCCCAGAAGTCTAGGAGGATTGAATGGTTCCATGGGCTGGGTCCAGGGTCCTGTTCCTCTGTATAGCCTCAGGACTCTGCTTCCTGCATCCCAGCCACTCCATCTCCAGCCATGGCTCAAAGGTGCCTGGATACAGCTCAAGCTGGTGCTTAAGAGGCTGCAAGACATAAGCCTCAGCAGTTTCCACATGATGTTAAGCCTGCAGGTGCACAGGGTGCGAGAGTCGAGAATTGGGAGCCTCTGCCTAGATGTATGGAAAAAGCCTGGATGTGTAGGCAGAAGCCTGCTGCAGGAGCAGAGCCCTCATAGATAACCTGTTAGGGCACTGTGGAGGGAAAGTGTGGGGTTCGAGGCCCCACAGAGTCCCCACTGGGGCACTGCCTGGTGGAACTGTGAGAAGGAAGCCACCATCCTCCAGATTCTGGAATCATAGAGCCACCAACAGCTTGCACCATGCACCTAGAAAAGCCACAAGCACTGAACACCAGCCCATTAGGGCATCCATGGGGGCTGAACCACAGGGGTGGAGCTTCCCAAGGCTTTGGGAGTCCACCCCTTGTACCAGTGTGCCCTGGATGTGAGATATACTCCATAAAGGAGATTTTGGAGCTTTAATAGTTAATGACTGCTCTGCTGGGTTTCAGACTTGCATAGGGCCTGTAGCCCCTTTCTTTTGGTTGATTTCTCCCTTTTGGAATGGGAGTATTTACCCAATACCTGCACCTGTTTTGTATCTTGGAAGTAACTAACTTATTTTTTATTTTATAGGCTCATAGGTAGAAGTGACTTGCGTTGTCTCAGATGAGACTTTGGACTGTGGACTTTTTGAGTTAATGCTGGAATGAGTTGAGACTTTGCGGGGCTGTTGGGAAGGAGATGCTTGTACTTCGCAATGTGAGGACAGGAGATTTGGAAGGGCCAAGGGCAGAATGAGATGGCTTGGATCTGGTCCCCAGCAAATCTCATACCAAAATGTAATCCCCAGTGCTGGGAGGTGGGGACTGGTGGGAGGTGACTGGATCACAAGGGTGGCGTTTCCATGAATGCTTTAGCACAATCCCCCTTCAGCCCTGTGTAGTGAGTGGCCACCAGATCTGGTTGTTTAAAAGTGTGTGGTAGCCCCCATACTGGGTCCCACTCCTGCCGTGTAAGATGCCTGCTCTTGCTTTGTTTCCATCATGACTGTAGTTTCCTGAGGCCTCCCCAGCCATGCTTCCTGTACAGCCTGCAGAACCATGTGAGCCAATCCAACCTCTTTTTCTCTATAAATTAGAGAAATACCAGTCTCAGGTATTTCTTTTTTTTTTTTTTTGAGACGGAGTTTTGCCCTTGTTACCCAGGCTGGAGTGCAATGGCGCGATCTCGGCTCACTGCAACCTCTGCCTCCTGTGTTCAGGCAATTCTCCTGCCTCAGCCTCCTGAGTAGCTGGGATTACAGGCACGCGCCACCACGCCCAGCTAATTTTTTGTATTTTTTAGTAGAGACGGGGTTTCACCATGTTGACCAGGATGGTCTCGATCTCTTGACCTTGTGATCCACCCGTCTCGGCCTCCCGAAGTGCTGGGATTACAGGTGTGAGCCACCGCGCCCAGCCCCTATATGAACTCTGTTGCTCCTTCTGAAAGAAGGCTTGGCCATCTTTGTTTTTGTTTTCTTTCTTACTTTTTCAATGTTCTTTCTCTTCTTTTGTAGCAGCTGAGGCCTGTCCTGGCCCAGAAGGAGATGGTTTAGGGGTATTTATTTA